ACATGGATTGAAGCTCAACATCAAGAAAACAAAGATTCTCACCACTGGGCCAATTGGCAGCATCAGTATGGATGGTGAAGAGAATGAGATAGTTAACAGCTTTAGTTTATTTGGTTCCACAGTCAATAGTCTTGGTAATAGCAACCAGGAAATCAAGAGATGAACTGCATTGCAAAAGTCAGCTGTGACGGACCTCTCCAGAGTACTGAAGAGCAGTAACATCAGGCTGGAGACTAAGGTGTGCCTGATCCAGGTTATAGTCTTTGAAATTACATTCTATGCATCGGAGAGTTGGATGGTGACTAGAGATGATAGAAAGAGAACTGATACCTTTGAGCTGTGGTGCTGGAGAAGAGTGTTGAATGTACCATGGACTGCTAGGAGAGCAAACAGGTTTGTCCTGGAGAGAGTGAAGCCAGAATGCCTCTTGGAGTCAAGGATTCTGAAGCTTCGTTTGACATATTTTGGGCATGTTTTAAAGAGAGACTGGCCCTTGGTGAGGGACATCATGTTTGGGAAAAGTGGAGGGATGGTACAAGAGAGGAAGACCCTAGATGAGATGGATTAATTCTGTGACTGGGTGGGGGGAATGAGTGTGTTTGAGACATCGAGGTTGACACAGGATAGAGTGGTGTTTAGGGTTCTTGTACACAGGGTTGCTAAGAGTTACAAGAGACTCGATGACACATAACAACCACCACCACCACCATATAAAAAAAAATAATAATGAGATAATATGGATCATAATTGGTAGCAAACTCACTGTGGTGGGATCTTGTCTAGAAGTGACAATTTATTTAACACATTGCTGCAAATGACGGCAAAATGTGTTACTAAGCTCTGTCATCAATTTAAAAGTGTGTGGCAATGTGTGGTAACATGTTAAATATTATTTGGAAAGAACATGAACTTTTCTATACTTTTAAACATACCTTAAGCATCTCCATTTCTAATTCTTCATCACTTTCAATTATGTATGATATATCTTCTTCATTATCTTTTGAAGACAAATGCTTAACAAAACAAAAATATCCAAATATTAATATATACTAATAAAATATATAGATCAATATATTTGAGTCCCTACGCTTACTTATACAAAATAATGTTCTTATATACTACATAACTTTATAGACAACTTCCCTTTCTCTAACAGAAGAAAGTATAATATATATTTACATCTATAATATATATTTACATGTTTACATAATAAATAAATGACAGATAAACAAGTAGAAGAGCACGTGTCGCACAGAGACTAAACTAATTTCTACTGGCCCTTTTAACAAAAAAAAAACCCCAAAACAACTCTCTCAAGCAGTGCTCGAGTCAATAAAAAAATTCGTGTTCTCATTATTTAGTACCTCAGAAGAAGTGTAAGTAACATCAAGATTGTCCTCTCGAGACTGCTGTTGTAAGAGCTGGAGTTCACATTCTGTAGTACCTAATGATGCCCAACAAATTCTTTCTGAATTTTCTTTGAATTTGTTTTCTATCTCATCTTCAAACTCATCTTCTTGTTTCACTTCTTCATCAAATCCATTTTCCCCATCCTGTTCAATTAAATTATCAAGTAGTGGGTCCCACTTCTCATCTTTAGCCAAGATTTTCTGTTCTCTCATGTCTTTCCATTGTACTGTACCAGCAGCTGCACCATCTGATGGCAAATCAACACTACTGCTAGGTCTCAGTTCTGTCTCAGTGTTGGTGGAATCAAATATTATCTTCCTCAATGAATACAGATGTTCTGTAATAGCCTTCAATAGTACAGGAATCCTAAAAAATTTAGAAAAGTTAATAAAACTCTAATGACATCAACCATAAACACAAATTTGGAGCTCATGAATGATACAATAAAACATGTGGCTGTCAGCCAAAAGTTTGGGGGTTTTAAGTCCTACCATAGGTGCCTCAGAAGAAAAACCTAATGACATATGTCAGGAAAATTAGCCACTGCAAACTCTCTGAAGCACACTACTACTTTGAAACACTCTGGGTCACCATTAATCAGAACTGTGTCAACAAGTGCTGGGAAGAAGTATAAGTTCCCTTAACGGATTTTCACTCAGGGAAACAATCTGTTCTTCATATCCTAATGCTCATCAAGGACAACAAGCACATTAAGATGGCCAACAAGCACATGAAGAAATGTTCAAAATCCCTAGCAATGAGAGAGATGCAAATCAAGACAACCATGAGATAGCATCTCACTCCAGTAAGACTAGCAAAATTTAGCAGAACAGCAAGCAACAAATGCTGGTGAGGTTGTGGAGAGACTGGAACCATTATTCACTATTGGTGGGAGTATAAAATCGTGCAACCATTATGGAAAGCGATGTGGCGCTTTCTCAAAAAGTTGCAAATAGAGATACCATTTGACCCAGCAATTCCACTACTGGGAATATACCCTGAAGAGACCATAAATGACATCCAAG